ATCAAACTGGCCTGTGGGCAAGTGCATGCAGGCATTTTCTTGAGTGTTGGTTGACATGGGAGGGCCCATCCTACTATGGACCATATGCCTGGGTTGTATCAGAAAAACAGAGCAAGCCAGCATTCCTCCATGGTCTCTGCTTCAGTTTCTGCCTCCAGGCTTCTGTCTTGAGTTCCTGCCCTGGCTTCCCTCAGTGATGGATTGTAAACTGTAAGTAAAATAAACTCTTTCTCCAAGTTTGTTTTGGTCATGATATTTAGACAGACACATTTGTGTGGTGAGTACAGGCATGCGTGCATGAGTGCGTTTGTGTGTGCGCATGTGTGTGATGGTTTTATCACCAGGAAGCTATAAGAATTCATTGAATGCAGAGGTTCCAGAAGGGAGATATTAAGGTCTTGTGTGTTTCTTAAGAAATAAAACTGAGAGTGAAGAGGGCAAAGAAGAGGAGCAGAGAGCAAGTCTCATCCATATTTCAGTTCATTTGTGATTCACCTTCTATTGCTCACCCGCCAGAGTTATGAACAATGAGATCTAGTTAGCATTAGCCAAAGGCCGGGCATTTACTTCAGCTTGCTTCAAACAGTGAAGTTAACCATCTGCAATGCAATATTTTCCCAACAAATAAAGGGAAATGAGAAGGCAGGAACGGCACCCTTCCTGTCCACCCGCTTTAGTCCCTCAATTTTATATCCACTTAGCATCAGACACACAGACCTGATTTCACAGACTATCCAAAAATCTAGGAACCACAAATCAAAGGAAACAAGTCTCTTTCGGAGACTGGCTTAGAAGATGAAGGAATCATACATGATCACCCATGCTTAATCCCAGCACGAGGGATATAGAGACAGAAGGGCCATGGGTTTAAAGCCAGGCTTAGCTATGTAGCAAGACCCTGATTCAAGGGGGAAAAAACTGTAGAAAAGGAACAGTGACCTAAACTCAACTGCATTTTTTTTTTAAGGCAAACTGCACACAAAGATACTGCTTAGGAGAGACTTCAGTTCCCTTCACATTCCTGAGGTGGAATCTAGATAGCTTTTATAAATTCTAGTCTACACTGGTTGCTGTTTTTGGCCTACTTTGCTGGTAAGCAAGAAAAGACTTTTGGAAGTCCCTTAGTCCATACTGTTTTCTCTGCTCACCAATGTCTAATTCAGGAGACCGGTTTTAGCTACCCAGGGCAGGTTCTTGAAGGAGGAGTCGGGTCTCCCATGTTCTGTAATGACCAGGTTTTATTGAGGCCCAAACTGGCCCCTGTTAAATTACTGTGTGCCTCGCCAGGATCTAGTTTCCCTGCGGACAGTGATGGCAGTGTGAGTAGCTTGTGAAGTCATAGGCTTGTTTGCCTGCTGGTTTGGAGGGGGCTTAGGCCTGAAAGAAAGTCCTGTTAGAGCCTGAGAAATTGGCCAAAATTTGACTCACTCCTTATTATAAATGTGTTCGGTGACTTTTTCCCCTACTGAATCCTACATCTGATAAATGCAATCTAAGACAAATCAAGCGAAACCAACAAGCGAACAAACAAACAACAACAACAACAAAAAAAAATGGTTGGGCCTGATTCTTTTTTAGAATCGTTCCACCCCTTCCATGTTGGAAGTTTCTCTTCTCGGTTTTCCTTGCTGTGAGGCTCTTCAGGGAAGAGCAAGTCTGATTGCATGTGGGTTGGTGTCTAGCTCCCACCTCTGTAAAAAGGCACCGGACAGGTCTAGTGTTCTCTGAGTGGATGACACCTGGACAGACACTAGTACATGTCTCATTTTTAACAGAGATCAGACCTCTACTCTTACCTGTGGCTTTACAAAACAAAAGGGGGAACTGTAGCGAGCTGTGTGGTGTCACACCTGATGGAGATGTATAATCAACTCCTGAGATGGCTAAGGCCTGACCTATGCTATGATCACGCAATGATTATCAGCTGCCTGCATATGCGTGAACCTATGGGCAGTGCCCACCTGGCAGTTCGGGGTTGGCGGCCCATGCCTACTTGGGGGCTGGGAGAGGTTTCCCCGGGGAGAGAGGAAAAGGAGAGAGAGGAGAGAGGAGAGAAAGAGAAGGAGAAGGAGATAGATTGGTGTGAATAAAGTCCTGAAAACTGCTGCAGGAAGAGCTCCGGGTGTTGCGTTTTTTCCTTGCTGGTTGAGGGTGGACGCGACACACACAAGCACACATTACACACGTGCCCACACACTTGGCAGTGTCCTCTCTGATCTGCTGCTTCCATCTTCCTTACCGTCTCTTCTCTGGGAACATCCAGTTTCACAAGAAGTTCGGCTGTGCATCAGTTCAAACCCACAGGTGTGCTATTTCCCCAGAGTCACATGTCTACAGATTTATTCATTCATATATGTTTGTGTGTGTATAGGAGCACACAGGTGCACATGTATGTGCTCCACCTTCCGTGTTTGTTCCTCTTCAGCCACCATTAGCCTTGCTTTTTAAGACAGAGTCTCTCTCGTCTGGCTGATGATTGCCAGTCTAGGCATCCTGGCCAACAAGTCACAGGGATGATTCCCAGCTCTGCACCCCTGGCCCTGGGATTACAAGCACACACCACCATTCCCTACATTTTAATGTGGATTCTGGGGACTGGACGTAGGTCCCATCTTCCCAGCCCTGAGAATGAATTATTCAGGTGGAAAAAATATGGTGTTTTAACTTACATCTAGAATTCTAGAACCTAGCCACTTTTCAATGACTATAAAATCATGAACACCTGCCGTGCCAAGAGAGGAGAGACCTTTTAGGAAGGGACGATCTCCGACACCATGGTCTTAGAGCCACCTGGGCTGCCTGGGCCAACTCGGACAAGGGAGACACTTGAGAGCCCAGATGGGCAGATGATCAAGGACACCTTTACAAGGATGTACTAGAGTGAGTTTCAGTGAGCCCTAGGACTTGTTCCCTCTGGCACCACTTCCCATCGCGATGGGCCGTGGTTCAAGACCTTTTATATTACACATGCCCGGGTAACTTCTGTTTGTTCTCAATTCCTTTTTTATTTAATTAAATAAACTTGCCTTAAAGTGTTATTTTAACTTCCCCCTACCATCATTTTAAAAACATCTACTATGATTTCCAAATGCTTGTTATGGACTGAATTTTGTCCTTCTTTCCCTCTTGTATGTTGACCTCCTAACCCCCAGAATCCTGCAAAGCAATTACTTGGAGGAGTCAGGGTTCCTTAAAGAGGCGATAGATGCAAAATGAGCTCATATTCGTGGGCCCTGATCCAAATATGACTCCCGATGAACAGAGGTGTCCAGGGCACAAATGCACAGAGGGAGGACCCTGTGAGAACACAGGGAAAGTGCAGCTATCTGCTTGCCGAGGGAAGAGGCTACGGGAGAGACAACTTGATCTTGCTTGGACTTCAGGCCCCCCGGAACTCAGAAAATCTGTTTCTGTGGTTGAAGCTCTCCAGTCTGTGGTACTTGGTTATGGCAACTCTTGCAGACTGATACTTGTCGCTGAGAAAAATATGTGTTTTGCAGACAAAAACTTCTCCATGAATGGATGTATTCAAAGCCATGAGGACAATCTGGAGACTACAAGAATAAGGCCTTTTCAGCGTCCTACATGGTGCTTTTACCGTTTTGGTTACATATTTGTAAAACTGTTGCATAAAAAAAGCATCTTGGACTGGAGAGATGACTCAGTAGATAAAGTGCTCGTTCCGTAAGGCTAAGGACCTGAATTCAGACCTCCAACATCCACATTAAAAAGTCGGGTATGGCAGCATGTGTCCGTCTTCCCAGCACCAGAGAAGCAGACAGGAGGATCCTTGGGGGCTTGCTGGGCAGCCAATCTAGCCAAACTGGTAAGCTCTGGGTTCGGTGAGAGATCCCGATTCAGAAAAGTAGGGTGGAAAACAATGGTCATCTGACATTGACCTCTGACCTCTCCACACAAGCATACACCTGTGTCTAACAGCAATATGTATGCAGACATCTGAGCATAGCACACACACACACAAGAAAATAAAGAAGAGGAAGGAGGAAGAGATGGAAGGAGGAGGAGAAGAAGAACCAATTATATTGAGACAGGTGAAGAAGTCATGGGTCTACAATCCGAGCCTTAGGGGGATGAGGCAAGGGGGATGGTAAATTAATAACCTTGCTGGGCTGTAGAGCAAAGCCCTAAAAAAAGAAAAAAAAGGAAACAAATCAGGCAACTGTCTGTTCCTGTGGAGCAGGAGTTTTTAAGCAGCCCCACTTGGAGAATCTTGGGAGATGCGTGACAATAATCACCGATGTTTAGACTCCATCTCCAGAGTCGTTGGAGAGCTGCCTGTGTTGGGCACCCAGCCCCTAGCCCAGGGACTTCTAATGAGTATCTAGAGGCTGAGAAAAATTGTTGGAAACGAGTTAACTAGGAAAAACACTGACAATTAAATGTTTGCAAAGGGAGTCGTTCTGCTTTATCCTTCCGAAGGTCCAATTTCATACACAACTATACACTGCTCTACCCCGGTGAATACTCTTCTCACTCCGAACGCGGCTTCTTCGCTTCTGGCCCCCGGTCACCGGGGAGACGATTGATAGTGTGAGCACAGAAACCGCTTAGCAATTTCTCCGCTAGTGATCAGGGCGCGTTTCAGATTTCAGGGCGATGCCTATGTGAAGAAGAAAGTCCGTTTGGATAGGGGCGCTCTACCGCCCATGTCCCCCTAATTAGTAACTTGCAACCCAGCCCCGCGGAGCGCTGACCTCCTTTGGTAGAGCTGGGGTGACAGCCAGTTCCCTGGAACTTGGCAGCCGGTGAAAGCCTACGGGTGCCAATTAGCGAGAGCTGCCTTCAACCCTGAGCTACTTAATGGTGGCTTTTTAAACGTTTGTTGGTTTTTCATTAAAGATTGATCTGACTCTGTGGATTTCTAATGTCCATTTATTTGGTAAATCAATCTCAGCCTGGCAGTGTTACACACACACAGGAAAACCTTGGCTGCAAGTGACTTTTGAAACTCAGCTCTCAGTTGCAGAAGATGGGGGGAAGTAAAGGATGAAGGAGAAATGGGGCACCAGAGACCCCCCTCTAGGATACTGAGCACCCCAAAGACCCAGAGGCCCAGCTGCAGGACGAGAGTGGCAAAAGGGGATCCCAGACAGCTGTAGCAAGGGTGAGCATTGTAATCCTACCCTTTGCTATGCGACTTCCCAGCTTTTATCTGAGTTATTAAAAAAAAAAAAAAAAAAGCGACTTGACAGCCGTACACTCAAGTCTCACTTCAACCATGGTCCCCAGGAGCCATGACGGTAGATGGCTTAGACAAAAGCACTTACTGGGCCTCCTGAATATTCTGACTGGCTCGGCCAGGCAACCTGCCTAAACAATTGCATGGGGCCCCTTTGGGACAACTCCAGAGACTTCTCATGCCTGGCCAGGCTCCAACGTCTGATTTATCTTGTGCAGAACAAGATACCCTGACAAGAACTTTTGGCAGCAGCTGGGGAGGGAAGGGCATGCTAACAAGCCTGCCTGGTAACCTGCCCCAAGTGAAGCTGTTCTACGATCTATTAGAGCCAAAGTTGTTCAGCTGTGGTACCCTTGACTGCCTCGGGCTCACGAGCCAAAGACAGGAGGCCCCCGTGCACACAGACAAGGGAAGAGAGCTAGTTCAAGCCTGTAATCTAATCGACTAGGGGCTGGGTAATTTTTTTAAAAAAAAATATGGCTCATGTTGAACAGCAGTATTTATATTATATATTAATTCTATGTAATTATATGTGTGTGAAATTATAGATGGGCATTAAATCACAGTAATTATTAAAACACCACACAAGTAGAAAATTGACAATAGTGTGTGGTGAGGCTACCCTTAAAATATATATGTTGTACAAATAATTATATATGTACCTGGGGTTATATATGTCTGCTGTCATAATAATTATCAAAACACATACAGAAACATCTGAAAACTATCTATTCAGTGGGCCAATGCCAGCCCTATTATGTGGGTGAGTGCCAAATATATGTATTTAATGCCCTCTTTTCCAGGGGTTCACTGACAGTGTCTAGTTAAGTACCAGGTTCACAGGGAATCTTGGACACTGGAGGATTATAGTTACATCACTAGCAGATGCCCTCTGATGCCAGCATGATGACATATACATGAAATGCCTGTGTCTCTCTGTCTGTCTGCATTCAGAGACACATCTCCAAGAGCGACCTGGGTCCCTATGTGCGTCATTCACGCCTTGCAGGTTCACAGGTTAACTCGTCTGTCCTTAGGGCAGGATTATAGAGTGTCAGGTGAAGGTTAGCCTAGAGGCTACTTTTCACCCTAAAGTCATGCTGAGGGTTTGTTTTCTAGTTATTTTTTTTCTATTTCTTCCAAAGTGAAAGTGCCACAAACAAGGTAGGAACTGCAGCCGTATGGACGGGCAGTGGCCTGAGGGGTTTGCTATGGTCGTGTCCGTCAGAGCTGCGTTCACTGGGGCCTGGATTATCTTCTCCGTTCTCATCTCTGCGCGCCTGAAAGTGTAGGCTCATATAGGTTCATGTTACGACAGCACTGACTTCCTGAAGAACCAGCTGGGACAGTTACGTACTAGGCTGAACGTGCACAAAGTCTCGTTGAGATGCATCCACTCAGCTCACTGGGGGATTCTTTTTGTTGTTGTTCGTGTTTTGGTCATTTTGACTGGAGTGAGACTATTTCCCACACTGTGGGTGGCCATGTACAACCACTTAAGACTCCCAAAGAGACAGAGTTTGTCAGGGAGACTGTGATAATGTCTATCAGGAACATGATGGACAGAGACATGAAATGCCCTTGAACTACGGAGTCCCACTAGCAAGGCCCCTGAACCAAGCCAACAGCAATGAAGCAAATCGAAAAACAAGTCAGGAGAGGAGATTATTTTAACCAAGTAGATGGTTCGTTACTTTCTTGTACTTAAGTTTCCACATCACACCAATGTATTCAGGAACAGCAGGAAATATTGGCTATCACATACCATCCCCAGCTGAGTCAGCAGTCCAGAGAGTTCTGCAGAGGAGTTTGGAGATGCTTGCTATGCACTGATTCCATCCTCATGGTAGAGTCACTCACTCTACTAATGATCGAGAAGTTTCTGATCATCAACTTACTTAATGTAGGCCAAGTTGGGTAAGGATCGTTCTGCCAAAGGTTGGCCTTTACAAAGGGTGTACGCCTGCTGACAAAACCTTCCTTGTTCTGTAGTGAAATGAAGAGACAAAGATCAATAGTCAGTTCCCCGTTGGCTGTAAAACGGCAGCACTGGAGTCTTGAACCCGTGTTGGCTTCTTATTTTCCACTTATTAAGATAAGACATGGCATTACTCATGTAGACAGTTGTTCATTAAATCTTTCCCAGGTGAAAATGTTTCTTGGACGGTACACCAGTTTCCTGAGGGATACCTTATAAAAGAATTTCTGAAACATAGGCACTAGAAGAATTATCCAAGGAATTGTTGGCTCTTCATATGATTGGAAACAATTGGCAATTGCGGTATTAGGGTTATGTGACTCTCCATAAACTACCAAATTGCCTTTCTCTTTAAAAAAAAATATATAATTAAGCTGCAAAATACCCACTAAAGGTTTTTCCTTCCACCAGAGTTGTAAAATGTATAATGTGCATATAGGTTATGCTAGACCAACTCACATGGTGCAGAAACAACTTCCTAGCAGCCCCTGTAACTTTTGAAAGCCAGAAAATCAGTTTTTTCAAAAACATCTCTCTAAAGGCTCTCTCTGTCTCCCATACTCAGCTACCAGCCTCCTCCTGCAGTGCAGGGAAGCTATATTTTTGGTCTTCTACTTGAAGCTGTCTCTTTGCATGACATTCCTCTCCCAGTTTTGGCAGGGAAGCCTTTCTGTCCATTCAAGAACTCACTCACCGCGCTGTCTCTGCTGCTCTCCTACCTCAAGCCCCCATCATGCCTGCCCTTCTGGCCACGAGGCTCTCCCTTGCAGTAAAGCTCATCCACAAGGTTAGCTTCCTTCTCCGAGAACTTGTCCTGCAGTAGCTTGATCACTTGGTGCCTAGACTTGGGGATTTCACACCCGGATGAGGAAAGAGTGGGCTGTGGATGAGGAGGGAGGGAGGGATTGGAGATGGGGTGGTCTGTCAAAGTACTCACGCTCCCCGCCAGCCAGGGAACAAGCTTCCCAAACACTAGCCTGTGAGGCCATTTAAGATTCAGACTATAGTGCTCTCCATATGGTTGGGAAACAAAACAAAGCTCCGCTCACCCTCATGGACCCAGAAGCTGAGTTCAAAGCCAGCAAGAAACAATTGGCTAAGAATTAGAAAGGATACAGTTCTGCGTGGTCAGTCTTTCTGACCCCAGCTCTCCCATTCTGATGGTTTCTTCATTGGAGAGGGTTGCTTTCTCATCTTCAGCTCCATGACCTGAGTCTCTACACACTACTACAAAGTCCTGTACATTTATCAACTATGTGCAATAATATCTGGGCTGGAGAAATGTTGGACACTTACAGGTCAATAAATACATCTTGCTTATCACAAACACAAATACTAATACTTTGAGTTTTTTTTTAATTATCTCTCATAGCCAAAACCCACAATGTTGCATAACTCTAAAGGATATCCCTACATCTCAAGTCAGAGACTAGCATCCAGTGCTTCTGCCTAAACAGGATTCCAAGGAATCCATGACTATATGGAACTTGGCCCACAGTCACCCTGCTCTGTCCTGAAAGGAGGTTGTGATGCTGCCCCAGCTCCTAGCTAACGTGCAGCTCTGGGCATGATGTACCAGAATCCATCAGGTTGCATATGGAACCAACTCTGTGGCTTCAGAGTCTCCTGTAATGTTCATTCACTTGGATGATCATGTAGAAAGGGGAGGATGTCAGAAAAACTGAGGAATTTTCAGTTATCATAACTACAGATGCTATCTATGCATTATGGTTGCTTAAACATTTGGGTACCTAAAAGAAATACAGGAAGAGAGCCATAAGATCACAATGGGTACATAGGGTCTGAAATCCACGGGTGGATCAGGAATGCCGTGTGCCATTCTCCTCACGAACTAGGCTTGGCCTTAAGTTGCCTCCCTTCGTGTTTTAAATTTGGCCTAAATGTTTTTCTGTATCTAGTGACCCACTGACTAACTTGATCCGAAAACATTCTATAACTGTAAGAGTAGCTGAATGGCAGCTGGTCACAAGCAGCCAACTGCTGGAATCGTGTTCTAGTAAGAGAGAGCTATGGTCAGTCAGGGTACATGTGTGGCTCACTTTGTTTGTGTGCTACTTCCTTTATGTGCTGGGCCTGGGCCTTCTGGACCTTTCTTTGTCAGTGAGTACCGTTGTGTAATGCTAGAACAGCAAATAAAACTAATTAAGATCTGTGAAATTAGATTTGCTGTAACTTTATCTTTTAATTATGATGCAATCTCTTTAGGACTTAATTCTGCTCAGTCTAGTGAGAGAACCCAGCCTCATCCATGTGAGGAAAATTAAGCCTGAAGAAACTAGGGACTCAGCCTGAGGGCGGAGCGCTTTCAGTTGTTGGAAGAGCTGTGGTTGTCGCAGGGCTAATGAAAAGGAGTTGCGGAATAATCTTTTTGTACACCGTGAAGATGGGTCTCTGCCAAGGCAACTTCTGACTGGCTTAATAAGGAGCTGAGCAGTCAGTAGCTAGGCAGGAGAGGATAAGCTGGGCTTCTGGGGAGGGAGAGGAACTCTGGGGAAGAATCATAGAGGCCAGACTGGCCAGTGGGATGCAGAACACATCAGACATACTACACTGATGAGAGCCACTTGACAGAACAGAGATTAATATAAATGGGTTAATTTAAGTTTTAAGAATTAGTTGGGAACAATTCTAAGCTAAGGCCAAACTTTCATAATCAATAAGAAGTCTCCGTGTCATTATTTGGGAGCTGGCGGTACAAAAAAGGTCCCACTACGAGAGAGAGAGAGAGAGAGAGAGAGAGAGAGAGAGAGAGAGAGAGAGAGAGAGAGAGAGAGAAGAAAATGGAGCAAAATTTTCTAGTAGTCTAACAGGCACACATATGCAAAGACCACCTGCCGGAGTTTCCCGACTCTGCAGGGTTTTGTGGTGGAAAGAAAATGGTAACATCAATTAGAGTCAGCAACAGCACATGCCCTGAAGCCTGGCT